AAGGGAATCCCAAGTCCTCCAATCATCTTTTGCCCTTCCAAAACCCTTGGGCTAAGTCACTGCCAGCTAGCCCGTCACACCAGTTTTAAATTTGTTGCCTTTCAATTTATGGAAACGGCATCACCTTATCATTATATTATGAATGTACATTTATTTGTCGTGCCAGTGGTACATTAACAGTATGTGGCTATTGGAACTCTCCATATTTTCTTGCTTAGTTCATAACACTCTCAGATAATGTTTCTTGCCTCTTAATTTGCAGTGCTATTTTGATTTTTTACGTTAGAGATTGCTTTGCAGCTCTGGGAGATTCTAGGAAGGACTGCATTGCTAACACTGATGTCATCTGTTGTTTGACTATAGTATTTGTTCAGAAATGTATCACTGCATTTTTTTCCATGTCTGTGTTTTCTGTCCTCTTTCATATTTTTATTTGAATTATTAGTGAAGAAGGATGCTGGACTAGATGATCCTTATGATCCCGTCTGGTCTGATATTCTATAAAAAGGGATTTGTGCTGTGCAGTCATTTATTGTTAACATGTATATTATCAATAAAGGAGAGGCTAACTGCTGTGTAACAAGTATGATTATTCTTTTTATTGCTGTTCCTTCCTACTGCTTTTGGAGCTGCTGTGGGGCACCAAATGTTCATACAGCACCATGTGGAAGCAGAATCCAATCAATAATCTCCTACATTCAGCCCTTTAATAAGTCCTAATAATTACCTGAGAATCATGAGCAGCCTTCAGAGGAAGAGAATACGTGTGAGAAAACACCCCATCCCCATTTATCTGGATAGTAATAGGAAGTTGCCATATCCCTAACATACTGCCACGTGAGAAAGAATCCCACCATCAATACATCCTTCTACAGATACGTCATAAAACTTCCCCAGCAGTTCCTCAAGAACTAAGACAATCTGAAGACCAGTGACAGCAATATGAGCATACCTTTTCACTGCAGTATGACCCACAAAATTAATATGGCTAATTATTCATCTTCAGGAGAAAGAGGATTGGTCATAAATGAAGAGGAAGAATTGATTGCTGAAAGGAAGACACGTTTACCATCACAATGGCATTAAATGCAGCAGAATAAAAGAAAGAAATAATAGATGAAGTTTAATTTAACTAGAAAAGGTAAAAATGGATGATTTAATACTAAAAATTAGTGACTAAAATAGTCAAAAGCAATGAATAAAGAGATTAGTACTTGAAGGAAGAGTAATCAAAGAACAAAAATAACTTAAAGACCTAAAATATTTGATAGGAAAAATCAAAAGGCTTAAGAACTAAACCAAAAAGAGAATATAAGATGGCATTTTTCATAAATGGTAAAGAGAAGGAAATGAGATTTAATACATGTGAAATTTGTATTGCACTGTTTTGTCCCACTCAGTAAATTTAATAAATGCTCTTCAGGTGAAGAGTCTGTCTTTGAGGTGTTTGTCAAGCATGGATTTATGTATTTAGTATCTTGATTATGATGATAGCACATTATTTCACTGACATACATACGTGAATATCTGATCTAAAGCTTTTTAAAGTAAGTGGAAAGACACTCACTGACTTATATTATGTCCATATTGCCTTGTAAATGATTCTGTTACTTTTTATGGTCTTGAAACAAATCTGTCTGAGGAGTCCTATCTTGCTCCATAATTGAGAAGTGCAAATTGATCCTTTAATGTAAATATATATATATAGCAGTTTCTTTCCATTCAGACTGACATTCTTGTCAAAACTATTCATATGTTTCAATGGAGTGTTGTGATAAGACATTGTTTCAAAAATACTTTATATTTTTCTTCTGTGGAGATGCCTTCAGTTCTCAATCTGTATGTGTCATTACCAATAAGCATCCTTTGTGTTTACAAGTTGTTAATTTTGACTTGATCCATAATCTGGATAATGGGAGGAGAGCTGACAGGTGGTATATACAACTGAGTGAAGTATTTTGATAAGTTTTCCTTTGAACTAGACTAAGAAACCATCATAACTGACAATCTTCTATCATTTTCAATGTACATTTGCTTTTTCTTTTAACTATTAGGACAGTGTGCGGGGGAACCTTTACCTAGTTGTGTGTGTAATCATAATACATTTGAAATATTCTAAACAAAGCTGGTGATTTAGGTCTTTTCTCTGATGACTGTGAAGGAGGAGTTTTATGATCCAACCTCTTGCAGTATAGACGGTAATTTTTTCAGCCTTATAAATAACAGTAACAACTGAAATTAACTGAGCTTTCGCTAAATGCATACCACAGCACGTGTTCACTGACCGTATTAGTGCCCCAAAATTCATTATATAAATTTCTTTTTATATACAAAACTCAGCACCTTCCTCTGCTTGTCTAGATGCACAGAACAATACCTCTTTCTCTTTATGTTTGTATACCATGATCAATACCAGTCTTTTTTCCTCCGTGCCTGGTTTTGTGCACTAAGTACAGTACACTCGGCTTTTGGCCTAGCCTGTTCTCTAGAACAAAGATTGGCAACCTATGCACCCTCTTGCTGTCCCCAAGCCATTTTATCCAGCACATGGAGTCAGGGTCTTCTGCAGCATTCAGGGGGCTTCTGCAGTGTTTTGGCAGCTGGAGTGTTTCTAAATGGGGGTTGGAACTATGTGTAAGAAACACTGATTATGCTGGTGGGGAGGCAGGTTGGGTTGGAAAAGGTGCACACTCAGAGCTGAACTCCATTAAAGTAGCCCCCTGCTCCAAAATCCCTACTCTAGAACAGTATATATTACTCCCTCTATGCACAAAATTTCTTTTTTCCTACTGTACGTCTTTCTTCCTGTCTCTCTACAGTATAGTAAGAGTGTATATTTTACTTTTTAGGTTGCTTCCTTGAGAAGTAAAATAGTTTGTAGAAATGAAATGCAAAATTACCAGCACAATCTATTCTACCTCCCCTTTGCCACACTATAATGATGAAAAGACTAACAATAATTTATTTGACAGTAAAAACAAAAATTAGACAAAAACCCAAATGAAAAAATTTGGTCTCACTGAGTAAGCAAGTCAGTTCGATTCAGTAATACTTTGTAGGCATAACAAATTGTGGCAAATTGTAAATAGGATACAGTCCCGACATGTCAGTCAGAGGTATGGGTACAACCTGCTCAGTTGCTGCAAATCTGCCCTCTGGTTCTCACACTTTTTTGTACCAGGACCCATTTGTAAACATCAATGGCTAGTCCTGACACAACAAATAGTTTAAGTAGAAAACAACCCACTGGCCCTACCAGTGCCCCTCACTCCTGACTTGCTGCCTCCCACCCAGGCTCAAGCCTCCCAGTGTGTGGGGTGGGGGGGAGGTACATAGGGCATGGGGGCCCCAAGCAGGCTGGAACTCTGCCAACCTGCAAGGGGAAGCCCAGTTTCCCACATTTTTCTTCTTTAAAGGAGAATCCAGTTTTAAAAGTTTGTTCGGACCTTTCAGATATTCTTGTGACCCACTTTTGGGTCACGATCCACAGGCTACTCTAAGGAGCACCTCTCTGCAAGCCTCTCCCTACAGTGCAGTCATGGGCAACTGGTGCCACCTTAGTCCAGAGGGGCATGTGCCCCTCC